TAGGCCGGCCCACTACCCAATTGAAACGTGCGGCGAGATCGATCGATCGTTACTAGGCGCGCAGAGAGTAACGATCGATCGATCTCGCCGCACGTTTGAATTGGGCAGTGGGCCGGCCTAAGACAGCGACTTTTAATAATTAATAACTCGTTAACTATTGCAAAACCTGCAAAGTGGTACAGGACTTTTCGACTTAGTCTAGTCCACTCTATCCCACAATAAGCGTTGATGCGGGTATTACATAACACCCTGTATAATAATGTTTTAATATTATTTTATTATTACTAACTTAATTATGACATGTTCCACCGTTTGGTTACTCGACTTATCGGCTCATTAGCTCGTCGTACCAATAATCTTATCCTCAGGCAGCTCGTCGAAATTCCACATAATTTATACAGCAGGGGAAAATTAATCGAGTTTATGAAGATCAATATTAGCTACAAGAACATAAATAAATCTGCTCGGCTGGCAAGCAAACGCAACTTGCCTTCAAACGTAATGTGTAATGAAATTATTTGCTTATAAAATATCTTACGGCATGTACAAATAATGACAAAAACAATAATTTATTGTAAAAGCATGGCCCTTCTAAAAACGCCATTAAATCTAAAGTATTTTACTGGCATAATTCCCTTTTCCGCTAGTGATTACTCTAACGAAAAAAAAAAATGTCTAAGCTTTCTCGGTTTTCTCGACTTTCCGACAAAGCGGATTCTAGCGCAGCGAGAGTCGATTTTCACGAGAGTGCAGAGACACCGTCGACAATTTGCGTTCCGCCGCGTGATTCCTCCATCTCGTCGTCCGCTTCCTCTCCTCTCAAAGTGACGCAGAAAAAACCTCAATTCCAGCGGTGATAGCAATGTCGGAGATGCGATGCTCGATCAGGACGATAATACGCACACGCTCGATCGTAATCCTTTTTATTCAGACGATTTTATCGCTTCGCGGCGCGGCCGGTGAAGAATGAGAAACGCCCGTTCCAGTTTCGCGGTTAACTACGAATATCAGTCCAGCGGCAAAAGCGCGCCAGCAGGAGGCCGCCGTTTCGCGTACATGCTTCGAATATCTCGCTATTTGCGCTTCGGACTTTACGACTCCCGTGCGAAACGGTCGGGGGCTAAGGACACAGGGGGGGCGGGGGGCAGGACAGAGATGAAAGGCGTCGGTGCGCGAACGGTGCACGAAGAGTTAAACAGAGAGGAGGATACCGACGTCACTGTAAAACGGCACGTTTGTACTGGAGATGTACGGCCGAGGGAGAAGGCGCGGCGTACAGGGTGGCGCGAGATAGAGGGAAGGTGGACGTGTGCGCGAGAATCGGTTGGGAAAGAGCGAAAGGGGTCGGAAAGGGAAGAGGCGAGCGGTGGGATGGGACGGGCAGCGTTTTATAGCCCGGTCTAGATGGTCCGGAACGTGGGGAGAGAAATAAAAAGGATAGGGAAACTATGTCGGGACTGTGCGCTCGTCGTAGACGCCTGTTGTGCAGATACGCTTTTTCCATTAAAGCCCGTTCCCGACACCCCCGGGCGAGCGCGCACGAGGACGAGGGGACACACACGACGCCCCGAGGTGTGTGCGACGGGGCGGACCGGTGCTCACGCACCGCGATAAGCCGTGATAGTTAACCGTCCGAGATTCCCGTTCCGTCGCCGGGGAGTCGCGCGATTTATCGCGGCGGAGGTGCAGTTCGCAAAGGAGCCGCGTATCCCCCAATTCGGCGGCATGGGCGGCAACCGGGGACGTCGTAGGGACGGGAAAATTCACCGCGATATGATCGCGCGCTGATTAGGCCGTTAGCGAGGAAACTTGAGCTCCCGAGACTTCCACTTCATTAACCTGAATGCGGAGCGGCGCCGCGTTTGCATAAGTTCTCTTATGAGACTGTTGAAATCATTTCACTTCTCTTTCGGTATCCTGTAAAATGTAATCCACCCGCCCCCGATCTCCAGCGCCGCTTAATTGCCTTAATTCGGCCTGATGAGGCCGTAAGACACACGTACGCGTTTTTCTCACGCCGCGGCGAGCGCGCGGGCATCGTAAACAAATTGAGAGCGGCATTATCTCACGTGGATATTTGTATAACGTAATTAAATAATATCGCATGTTCCAGCACAGTGCTGTCTTGGTGTTGCTTGCGAAGAGTATCGTGCTTCAGTTAAACATCGCGACACAGATCTAAGTGTAAGTCTTCGAACGTTAGAACGGTGCTTAAATATTTCCCTCGCGAGTCAATGATTTTGCGAGAACTCTCGTTACCATTCTCAATGGTAGCGCGCTATTAACATTTTAATTGTTACACCGCGCTACGTTATATCCATGCAAATTTTGTTTTAATATCCGTCTCTCGCGGTTATGGTGATATCATATTTAGCCACGACACGGCAATTACGCTATTGGATTAGAGTGGACAAAACTTGAAGCCGCGGATGCGACTAGAGACAACGATTTACAACGAGTACGGTGAATCTAAGCAGGACATAGAGAAGCAATATCGCGGAGAATAGTTTATAACCCGGCCGCACTAAACCGATATAGCCTTCTCGTATACACCGCCGGTACCTGCTTCATAGATGAACGTTTACGTGTCCCTATATCTCATTCTCTACGCTTGCGGAATTACTGATGGGCTATAAATAAATAATGCTGTATAAGTGATATGATGGAGATAAATGGACAGGGATAAAATCGACTCACGAGAGCTGCGATGAAAGTAGATCGATTCAAGTCGTAAAACGGCGCATCTGATTCAGATTGAACGTCTAGATTG